GCCGCCGGCGCCCCTGCTCGGGTGCAATGGTTGGGTCTGGCTCCCCGCGTGCCGCACATTCCTTGGAGTGGCCCACCCTCTCCTCTGGGTCGCCCGGACAGGCTCCCCTACCCGCAGTAGCTTTGCACCCCACTCCGAAGCCCCTTTTAAGAACATCGCGGCAGGAATCACCCAGGCTTTTAGGGAGTAAGCAAACTGATCACCAGGGTTTGGAGTGGGTTTTTTGGTGGTTTTTTTAACCTCTTTTCTCTGATCTTCTATCCTGTCCCCCTCCCAGGAAAACGTGCAGAATTACTTCCAAGAGCAAGTCTGCCTGCTATCACTCCTCTGCCAATCTTCCTTATCTCTCCCCCCCAACCCCCCTTCACAAGCTCTATTCTGGCAGAGTAAGCAGATCTCCACTCCCCTGCCCCTCACCCAAATACACTGGGGAAAGTTTTCTATCTCCTTCCCGTGCGAGATGACAAGCCTGCCTTCAAGAGGACAGTGTCAAAAGAGACATGGAATATCACGTAAGGCCATCAGTTGGTAAGCCTTCGCTCCTTCCTGAAAGTGAGAATATGTAATCCTTCCTCATGTTAATTATTAGATGCAGATGAGGCAAGGAGAGGGACAAAGGGAAGAGGTAATTTCCTTTGTTTCCTGAAGTGTTCTGAGGTGGCTTCTGTGGCCATCACCTTCCCCTGGATGTTTCAAGCCAGAACTCCTGTCTTGCCTTGTGGAAGGCCTCTACAGCAGCTGATCAGGAGGAGGAGCCGCCATCTCCGGAGAGGTCACTGGGACGGGCAGGTCCCATGGCCAGTATTAGAGCGTATTAACACCACAGCAAATATTACAGAGCTCTTTTTTGCCTTCTGGACACTAACACATTTCTGGAAAGGTCCATCTGCTATGATAATGGAAAATCCTAACTTGTCTGAGAAATGAAAGAGATTCAATTTCTGGCTGTCACAAGGAAAACAGGGTCTTCTATGGACATCACATGCAGTAAAAAACAAAACTATCCATCCTGGTGGTCTGGTCTGTGACTCCATGTGTTACTTGCGTATTTCTCAACGTTCCCAACTTTCTTACAGCAAGAAGTGACAGGAATTAGCAAGTCTCACCTATTAAAACCGCTAAGTACAAAATACACATATGTCTAGCAAAGGAACATAATATGAGCACAGTCATACACAAAGCACCACCAGCATGTAAGAACTTGCTAGATAAAATTCACAGTAAAATCTGTCCCTTAAAGAGATAAACCCAGAGTGCAACTAGTCTTCAGGTGCAAGCTAGTACCCACGCCAGGGCTGTTTCCTGCTACTGCAGCATTTGCAATCGTTTGGGATGTTTGCTTGCCATCTGCTCTCACCAGGACCCTTTTTACAGTTATCAAGATCAGTTAGACAATGGAAGTCTTTTGTTAGAAATGTTCACATTAAAGGTGACTTCTCCTGATGCTCGAGACCTCTATAGTGCAGACCAGTGTCCATGGAAACAGTCCCTACAACCTCAGTCATCATGATGGGTCTCTAAGAAGCCACATTCTGAACCACAGAACATCAGGGATCCTCCTTTTCTTTTTTTCCATGATAACTTGATGTTATGCCATTCTTAAAGGCTAATATTTGGCCGGATATCTTGTAATATCCTTAAGGATATAGCTAATTGTTAGGTGTTGCTAAAGGTAAAATTAGAATATGAAAATAATTCTAATCACTAAGAATACTAAAAGGACCACATATTTGTGACTAAAAAGGATATCTAAAAGCTAGCAAGATGTATATTGTATAATAGAGAATAGCATAAAAAAGACTTGAAATGTGTATTAAAGCTGGGCAACAGTGGCTCATGTTTGTAATGTTTACTCAGGAAGCTGAGATCTGAGGATGGCAGCTCGAAGCCAGCACAAGCAAGAAAGTCCATGAGAACTTATCTCCAGTTAATCACAGAAAAAGCCAGAAGTGGCACTGTGACTCAAGTGTGGTACTGTGGCTCAAGTGGTAGAGCACTAAGCCAAAGGTGCTCAGGCACAGCTCCCAGGCTTAGTTTAAGTTCCAGGACCAAAAAACTAAAGCAAAAACAAAAAAGTATGATTAAAAAAAAAGTCCATCAGTTCAAAAGTTCCAAACTTCAGCAGGTCCTCTAGGCCTCAAGCTCCCACTTGGCCTTTTCATTCAAGGCTGGTGCTCTATTGTTTGAGCTCCCCCTCCATGACCAGCTTTTTGCTGGTTCATTGGTGATAAGACTTCTGTCTGGGCCAGCTTTGAAACACAACCCTCAGTTCAGCCACCTACTAGCAAGAATTGCAGGCCTGAGCCTTGCAGGTCCATACTCAATAAAATAAAGCATTTCTACAAAGTAAAATAAGACTGATTATTCACACTCCAAAAGTATAAGATGAAACGTAGTCATTCAAACCCATAGATTCCAATAAAGAAATCTAATACAAACATGAAAGCATGTGTTTAACACATATCATCATTTAGACATATTCACAAGTGCTTAGTTGCAAGAGCAATTAGAGGGAAGACTCTAATGAGGTTTATTTAGAAAAGTTTACTGACCATTAAATCAACTACATTTTAACATAGAGAAGATAAAACAGTACAGAGAAACTGCACGGACATTATCTTAAGAAGCATTTTGGAGTCTGTATTGGAGATGTACATCCTGTTTGAAGGGAAACTGAGACTGCTGCCCTGGCTGTCATACAACACCCTTTCGCACACCCTTAGCCTGAAGGTAAAACTGTGAGAATTTGACCCACAGGCAGCCATCACAGACTGCACAGTGACCTATGACCTGGCCAGGACAAAAAAAAAAAAAAGAACATGAGCAAGGCCAATCTGATTCTCATCCTTGGGAATCTGATTCAGAAAATTCTAAGAGCTGAACCAGCTAGTAAAGAGGCAGAAATTGCAAGAGTGCCAGGGGTAGAGTAGAGGCCACAACAAGCCAAAACTATCAGCAAGCCAAGGTTAGGAGGAAGCAGAAACTATGAGTAAACAGGAAGCTGACGGGCAGCCAGCAGAGGAGTAGAGCCCACGCCAGGAGCTGGTGAGCTCTTGGCCATGGCATGACTGAGGGAGCTGCGGTCCCCAGAGCTGCTTTGGCTCTGCATACTTGCAACCACCCTTACACAACCTTGTATATACCTAAACCACATCCCTGTTCCCACAGCTTAAATGAATCTCAACTCTGATCCAAGGAACAAAACTGAGGCAGAGCTGAACAAATCTGGCTTACACACTTCAGACTTCCATGAACTAGCTACATGGTTTGGAGTAAATTAGTTGATCTCTCTGGCTCCTAGACTGTCTTCATCAGATTGTCTTTCAGTAAAATACACCCCCTACTCCCCAAAAAAGTGCAAACTCAATAAATGGCAATGGTATTATTGTTTTTTTTCAGGGTTTCCAGTAGTGGTTTATAGATGTGCGTATTTGGTGTTTAGTAAGTCAAAGAACAGGAGCAAGGGTATGATGGGAATGGATGAAGAACAAAAAGATCAGATTTAGGTAATTGGGGTTCCCTTCAATAACTGCTTGTTGAGGGGCTGGGAAGGTGGCTCAGTGGTAGAGCGCTTGCCTTGCATGCCTGAGGCCATGGGTTCGATTCCTCAGCACCACATAAGCAAAAAGAGAAAAGCCAGAAGTGGCGCTGTGGCTCAAGTGGTAGAGCGCTAGCCTTGAGCTGAAGAGCTGAGGGACAGCTCCCAGGCCCAGAGTTCAGGCCCCATGACCAGACCCAAAAAACAAAAAAAACACCCCAAAACAAAACAAAAACTGCTTGTTGAATGACTGAATGAGTATGTCTTTGAGGGCTGTGTATTCTTACAACAGGTGAAACTTTAAAAGGTGGAGAAAATGTCTAGCCAAAGATCTGCCTCAAGAAACTAAAGGCACTGGAAGTCTTCCTTCATTTATTATTGTACAGATTCTTTGAAGTGTCTATGTACCAAAGCAGTATGTGTGAGCAGTATCAGAGATCATTCTATAGGCAGGCACATGCAACCAAGGACTATCAGGCTAGAACAACCAGTCCATGCAGAAGCCTGGGAGATGATGCCTCCTATCACTTTAAAAGAGTTTGTACAACAGGAATCTGAGAGTCTGAAATGAGAAGACATTGGTCCCATAGAAACAATTCTAAAATGAGACTTGGGTTTTTTCAAGCTTTCACATCTCATTTCACTTTCACAACAACTCCCTGAAATAGAAGGGTTATCAGGTTCAATGTGCAGATCAAAGGGAGAAAGTTAAGCAAGACATACTAAGCTACCTATACAGCAATACTAGAGTTAAAATTCAGACCTTGCTGGGGTTCAAAGAGTTAGTCCTGTACTCCCTAGAGTTTTCCAACACTGTATCTAAGAGAGCCTTATATATAATGCTTCCATTCCTACATGAACACTTGTAATCCACAGAGTTCCCAAGCTTCTATGCACCAACAAGGCATGGTTTTATGTGGTAAGTGCCAGGCGAGTGGTCTAGACGATATTGTGCTCTAGGAGTTTGACATGAGAGAGAGATCAATAAGGATATAACATGGGTATAGTATGCTTAGCTGTATAAATGTCTTGAGAGTCACTCAGAAAGAAGCACTGTACAGATAACCAGAAGAAAAAAAACAACCGCCACAAAACCAGAAATACACATAGAAAGCTAGCAGGAGAAAGTGAGGATTTGGGGTCATCAAAGCTAAAATCATTGCTATTTGTCAAAAAGGAGAAGCTAAGGAACAGTGAAAAGCCCAGGAGATTGCCACTCTAAAACACCCTAATGCACATATTACTGAATACACCTTATAAGAAAAGAGTGATTAGGTGAAAATACTTAAATAAATAAAGTATGGTGGCTAAGCTAACTTTTGAAAAAGATGACCAATGTCATAAGAATGGAATGTCTCTATCAATGGAATGTCTCTATCTCTATAGCAATATCCAGTTGCCATCACTGCTAAATCATTTCCAAATCAGTTTATGTGGGTCAAAAGGAAAAAATCACTCAGTGTGGCAAATTGCAATATTTAATGCATAAGATATAGCCACACAACAATGGTTAGTGTAAGTAATCAACACACACACACACACACACACACAAATTCACAACTGAACACACACACACACACACACACACACACAAATTCACAACTGAGAGCCTCTGGATCCCAGAAAAACCTTTGGATACTAGCAAAACATAAGAAGAAAAAAGATACAGGGTCAGCAAATTCTTTAAATTTCCTTTCTTTCCTTGTACAAAACAGAGCTGATCAAGTATTCTTTCTAAAGTAACAATATTTTTTGTTATTTACTATTTTGCTTTTTTAAAAAATCTACAATTCTTATTCCAGACTTAAAGGCTCCCCAGACACATACACAATCACATACATACATACATATATATAAACAAAACCACTATAATAAAATGAAACTATAGCCATAAATTGTGAATGTATATAGAACAATACAAACATAGGCAATTCTCATGAGTCTCGCCAGAAGCCACATTCTGATGGTTCCTAAATCTACCCTAGTGAGCAAAACAGGAGAAATGAGTTTATCCCTACTACTACTTTTCTGCATGGACTATTAAATAATACTGGCTGGTTGTCATTTACTTAATAAATGCTATACTCTAGACATATTCCAAATATCTCTCTCTCTTTCTCTCTCTCTCTCTCTCTCTCTCTCTCTCTCTCTCACACACACACACACACACACACACACACACACACCACACACACACACACACACACACACACACACACACACGAGAAGAATGCCTATTCCTTTCTCTGGGACTCAGAGATTTAATGCAATCTAATAGTGTCAGGGTTTGCACTTAGATCCCCTGTGTCCAATAACAGTAACAATAGTTCTTATGACTATTAGCCATGGGTGAGGTCCACACTCCCTGTCAGTATGCTATAGTCTGGGCACTCACAGTGAGCTGAAATGAAATTCACAGTTAGCCACAAAGTCACAAGTTTACAAGTTCCAAATTTACAGTCACTGTGTAGCTGAGCTGTGATATTCAATAGGTTAAATATATTTATATTATTTTCTTTTTTAATAAGTTTTGTACAGAGGAATTACAATTACATGAGCAAGGTAATGAGTACATTTCTTATCAAGCATTGTTGCCTCCTCCTTTGTCGTCCTCCCCCTCCCACCCCCCGCCAAAGTTGTAAAGTTCGTTTTTCGACATAGCATATTGTACATGTCATTGTTGCAATAGGTCCACCTGTATCCCTATTTAAACAATGTTTTTTCCCTTCCCCTCCCAAATTATACCAACATCAAATACAATGAAAACAGGGGTTATACCGTGGGGGAGGGACATACAAAGCAACAAAAACATCACATATATAAATATAAACAAACGCAAGAAAGAAAAAACCATGCACTGGGTTTACTGAATGTAACCATAACTTAAATCAAGGAGCATCTATACATTAAATGTCTGTTCAGTTGAGTAAGAAGGCATACCTTTACTGTTAGATAAATGCAGATATATATTCTGCTCCAATCTAGTACCTAGATCTCACTTAACTGTGGTGTAACTGTTCTCTTTTATCCAATTTTGGAGGATTATTGGAAGAACAGAGTTGGAAGAGAAGCAGGGATGGTATTTAAAAGCCAGAATGGAATTCAGGTGAAAGGTATTTCTAGGATCCTGAACTGGAGCTGACAACCTACTTTCCCTTAAAAAAATAATGGGAGACCATATTTGAAATTAATTTCATTATGGAATTCACAGACATTTATAGGCCAACTAAAACCCTAATCTCTATTTAGGGCATTTCTCTCTAAAGGAGCCATTCTTGAAATTCAAAACAAGTTACACAAAACATCTTTGAATCTAATTAATTATTGTAGCATTCTTTCAGAATAGTTAATAAAAATTGAAAGCTTACTCAAATTTTTGGCATAAAAATTTTCTGAAAGTTTTCCCTTGGTTTGTTAAATAAAAATAAGCATATGACTTCTTATTCTTTTCAAGATAAAAAAATCATTTGTTTTTGTTTAGTTTATAGAACAATAAATTCATACCTGTAGATCAAATTCTACAGAGAAGTTAAGTCAAACTGTTTAGGAAATCAGAACACAAAGAAGCTCATTTTTCATATCTTATGAGCTAGTTTTGCTGAAAGGCCTCTCTCATTGTGGAAAGACCATACAGGAGACATCATTCTTGTGTCTGTAGGCAAGCCCTTAATATCATAGGGGCTATTGTCATACTATTTCAAGGTAAGTTAAGGAAGTTTCCACGATTGTAGTAAACCTCTTAAATTGTGAGAGAACGCTTATGAATAAAACTTTGAAAACAGTTTACCCAGAGAGCTGGAATCATACACAAGGAGTAAGAGTTGAGGTATGCTGGGAAAATTACTAATGATATTCATCTCTTGCAGAAAGCACTTTAGAAATCAACAGAATTTGTGAAAAATGAGTGCCAAACTTTAAATTATGGATAAGAAAGTTAAACTGAATCTAAAATGACCATGTCATTTCCATGAGTAAAAACTACCTGCACAAAAGACAACTTTGATAGTACACAGTAAACAGTGTGTGGAACAAATAAAACCATCATGTGAGTGAAGAATGGTGAAAGGTTATTATCAGACATTGCTAAATGTGGAGGGATGAGGGAAGGGGAGTATCTATTGCACAAGTTCAGATTTAAAGCACTTCAGACACAGAAGAAAACAAAATCCCTAAAATTTCTTTAGTGTTTGGTTGTTAATTGTCCATTTCATCTGGAGTAAGATGCTAGAATAATAACATCCTTTTCTGTAAATAAGAATGCTGAAACACTTTTTGCATTGTTACGATCAAACAAGCACATAAACAATTACAAAAATAGGTTTCTATTTAGTGGAGTATGTATGAGAGCAACCTTTCCAACATTTGGATGAAATAGGATGTCTGGGGGCTTATGAAAATTCCTCACCCTCTGCATTTTAAGAATGAAGAGCTCTGGGTAATCTTACACACTGAATACATGGGGTGAACTGACGACAGACCTGTGGCAAACTAATACTCCCCAAAGGAAGAGAAGGCAAATGAGGAAATTCTGGTGTTGTCATGACAATATGACTGATCATGACGTCAGTAGCCTGAATGCCAAATTGTAAGGAAGACTTCCAGAACGCTGACACCACACTAAACAGATTCTCCCAGGCCCACCCTCCCTGCCTTCCCCTCCCAATCTGTTTGACCTAATAGCAAATGCAATCATGTTTTGACCACAGGATTATTGTAGAAAGTCTCTTTGATTCTTCTAAGGTAGAAGAAGTAGAGGAAGAAGTAACTTCTGAACATATTTAGTTTTCAGACCAGTGTGTGTGTCTGTGTGTCTGTCTGTGTGTGTGTGTGTATTCACTACAGACATAAAATATGTCTAGCATGTGTCCATTTAAAGAATGCATTATTAAGGAAGAAGGGCAGGTCTTTCCTAGCCCTACTTTTTTAT